TTTTTTTTTTTTTTTTTTTTTTTTTTTTTTTTTTTTTTTTTTTTTTTTACATAAAAATTATGATACTCAGTACAAATTTGACACTTGCAACGTCTTACTTACAAAAATTTTTCAGAATCGTATAATATGTGTATTTTACTTTGATGGATCAGCATGCGTATACACATCGCACTCGCATTGAAAAATATACGTATCTAAAAATAATGTTTATACATAAATGTACGATTGAACGGAAGCATTAGAATTATCAGTGCTTAATCACAGAGAAAGAGTCGAAATCTGTTCTCGCTCTCGTGTGCGAGCCTCAGCTCGGTAAACGCATCAAAGCGTTGGACATAAAAATTTTTCATCAGCTTTACTTGTACGTATTATAACAATCAAAATGGCAAAAGTATCGTTGTTCTTGAGAAATTGACAGGCCATCGAACACAATCAAGTACTCAACTAATAATCTCCTTTTGACTATTACATTACAAATGACTTACTACGTATTATTATTTTTTTTTTTTTTTCTCAATTTTTACAAGAAACACACTTGTACCATGTAAGAAAAGTAAATGTAAATATTATCTTTGCAGAGATAGTTACAATACAATGTCGTACGATTATTTACTTTACCCGAGTATAAAAAAAAGAGTTGTGTGTACTTGTAAAAAAAGTATGAATTCTTGACTCCTACTGAACTTTCGATTTAAAAAAAAAAAAAAATTCAGCAGATCGAATGCCGTTCCTAGCTTGATGCATCTTTCGCTGATGCTCAGACATCGGATTTATCCTTCAGGACATCATCAGAGCAGGTTCTGTTGCAGGTAGAAAACTATCGTCATTTCTTTGGTAATTGGAAATTCACGAGCAACGGGTGGAAAACTGATTATCAAGCGAAGTGAGTGACAAGCTGTTAATTTCTCATGAAACACCAATGAGACTGATTAAATACAACAATTAGTGTAACAACATTTAATACTTGAATATTCGTATTTGTTAAGAGTCGCCAGCGAATTAATGTACAAATATCTTATATATATAAAACACTTGGATTCGGTGTCAAAAGTATTATTCTTACCAATAAATTAGTGGTTAAAAAAAAAAAAGACGAAATAATTCTATTTAATACAAAAAAGAAGCTTTTGTTTCGATAGCCTTGCGATTTATGCGGTACAATTTATTTTTAATTAACGTTAATTAATCATACGGGTGTCGATACGCATTACAATTATTCCATCAAGTGTCGATTGTGAGAAACACACTAAGGGCCATTCAATTGTAATAAAACCTTTTTCTTATACGGAAATGGTACAGGTGCGCGTTTTTGACGGGTCTAAAAGGTGTTTCGTTTTATTATTGTTATCATGTGATGGAACGCACACGAAAAATCATATTATTATGAAATTGCTATTTCAAACTTAGCAGAGCCCAACACCCATTGAGAAATCAACAATGTACTATGACTTTTATGTCATTCTGGGAGAAAAGACTGTACGAAAAATAATGTAGCATCGACATTGTGATGATTTCCCACTTGGGCAGTAGCGGCACTTCGTACGAAACACCTCGCTGTGAACAAAAAGTACTAATAAACGGAGTACATGGTGGTCCTAATGAACACTTTGTCATCAGACAAGAATCGACTCCTAGAACTGTTTGTTCGTGTTTATTTTTTTCCCACCAAAAACCGCGCACATGTATGTATCAACTCACGACGGTATAATAAATTGGTCGATAAACTACGGCGAAACTAAAAAAAAAAAGAAGGCAAAAATAAAAAAATCTCCAGCGATCCATCAAACGTCAGGGGGGGGGAAGGACGCACTTGCAGATGCGACCTTTTTTACTGTACCTAACGTCCGATGAATATGTCGGGGAGCTCAAAAGCATTTTTGTTTTTGCCTTCTGGTTTGCGTTGGTAAAAAACAAAGCTTTAATTCGGATACAATGGGAGGTAAGATGTAACAATAAAACAACGACGATGACAGTAAATTTAACGATGCGGATTGGACGTAATTGACGCAGAAAAAAAAAAGAGAGGAAAGTAAATGCTGGGGAGGGGGAGACAAGTCGAATAAAGTAATCTATCGTGTAGGGGGTACAAAGCGAGGGAGCATCAGCATTTTTCAACGGAATACAAGTTATTGTATTTTGCATTGTTAATCGGCTTATTTTGTACACACAACAATAATCATAATATATGGTGAGACTATGACAATGAGTATCGGGATACGAAGAAGAAGTTTCAGGGGCATATTTTTTTATGGTATGATGATGATGATAGTAATAATACTACACGTAGGTTACAACCTTCGCAACGAGGCTATGCTGAGAGTACTGCACTTTGCTTTGCGCGTCGGCTGGACAGACAGGGGTGCGACGAGGACCTCGTCTCGCGACGGCGAGCCCGAACTACCGTTTCCCAGCTCCTGCAAAGATACGGATTCCGCTTTTTATAAGAGCCATTTTATTTTTTGGAACAAGTTGCGTAATCATGTAAAAAATCATTTCTAACTAGTATTTTTTTATATGTAATGAAAACCAATTTAAGTGCTTTTTCACCAAATAATTTTAACACCTCAATTTGTTTCAATGTTTATTAATAATCACTTGATATTATATTACACTCTTTTGTTTGAAAAGTAATTTCTTTTTTTTCAGTCATTATCTTCAACAACCGACCAATACTTCGAATGTTTAGAGCAGTTGCGAAAAATGTTCAGAAAATAACGAGACATCAGTAGTTGCATCCAAATTGAGGGGTTTTCGTACATAACAGTGTCTAAATTATTGGAATATGGCTTATAATACTTACTATATGTAATACGAAATATACTTTGGTACTCCAATCTGATAGCATGTGCAAAAATGGTCTTAATTTGTAAACGTTTATATAGTGATAAATAAAAAGGAGCTGTATGTTTACAAGTGCGTAAGATAATCACAAAAGAAACAGAATTTTAATTTATTTTAAAAGCTGTGAGCATCCGAGTGTACCGAATAATTTCAAGTATTCAATTATAATTGTAATACTTGCAACCAACGACTTTTTCAAAAATTTCGTGCAAACTCATTCAATTTCAACTTTAAGTTAAACAAAAAATCTGTAGAGTGCCTTTAAAAACGATAAGGCTCAACGAGAGATCGATCAAGATTAATCAAGTATTAATCAAAAATTTTCGATCAAAAACTGTATTATATAAATAAACATTACTTAAAAATTGAAAGAAAAGGATCAAAGCTAAATCAATCACCTACTAAAAAACAAAAACCATGGCATACTTATTTCTGTTTTAATAAATTTTTGATATGTGTAAATGTCAATTCATGCAATTTGTCAAACTAACGTTGATATTGTTGCAGCTGGCGAGCCTCATTTGAGCGAGTTGCTGACTTGCCGGGGTTAAACTGGTGGTCGAGCCAAAGGGCGACATCATCGTCGACATTGCTCGTTTCAGCTTGCTTGGCGTCTTATTGAAACTAAACGCTCGATGAACCTTCATTTTCGTGCGACTTGCGAACCTGCGAAAATTGGTGTAAAAAAAACAACACATAGGTATTATCATGTGGTACATTTATTTTTCATGGTAACGAAAAAAATTAATTAATAAGTAACAAATGCGAACTAACTATCCACCTTGAAAATATGTGTGTTACGTTACAACAGTTTGATCAATTTTTTAGACTTGGTTGATAAGTTAATCAAGTAAGAATGTTGTATTAATCTCAGTGTTTGCTAGTTGTTGCTTTTAAAAAACACTGTATAAATGATGATTAATTTAAGCTCAAAAGTAAAAAAAAATTCAAGGGGGACAAAAGTTTTTTTTCCACAAGGGGGTTGTCGCAAACGCAATAACTTAATAAATGAATATCAAAATGCACAAACCAGTTCAAGTATTTAAAGTGATAAAAATTATTTGTTGCACGTAATCGAGTCAACTAAAATTGGACTAAACGAATTGAAAATGAAACATTAATCAGCAGAGGAGTGCAACTGCAGTGTTGTCATGCAGCGTGAAGAGATAAGATAAAATAAAATTTTTTTTGGTGATTGAAAATGCAAGTGCATTTATGGAATATACGAAAAATGATGAGAGAAAGGATATAAATTCTCGAACTGGTCTAATTACGGTCAAAAAGCAAATCAAACGATTTAAAAAAAAAACATTCTATAGAGTGTGTTAAGTGATGGACTTTAAAGAAGCACATGAGGGGATAAGCGAATCGGACAGAAGCGAGTAAAAAAGATTGTTTTTAACAGCCTGGTGCAAAAACTGACGGTAGTGGGACATGAAACGTAGTTTCACACATGCTATTGAGTAGGAACACATACGAGTCCATATATTCCAGGTAAAAATTATGAAATAGACTCCTGTAATCAAACGTATCATTGCCCCATTATTATTTTGTTCACATGCATTTCAAAATTTATATTTTTATTCATCTACAACATTTCATCAATTGTGTTGGTATATTATTTAAATTTTTACTGAAATTTTCAACTGAAGCTTAGGAAAGCGCGCATAATATTAGTGCTTAATAATTTCACAATAATCTGCACCAGTTTAGAAATAAGTCAATTGATTGTTACTGCTCTGAATATTTTAAGATTTTACATTAAGTATATTGCATGAAAAACCCACAAAACTACTGATACTACATGGAAATAGTTCCAAAACAAAGAATTTATAGCTATAAACCTTTTAATTGAATAAAATTCACAAATAGAGAGTTGGGAGTTACTTACTTAAATGCTTTACTCAAAGTTCCTACAGCTACATCACTAGAATCAATGTGAAGCTGATGAGCATCAAGGCTTGTTAGAAACGTATCCTAAAAAGAGAACGTACGTGTAATTCATAGCGGATCCAGCGCTGTCTCTAATTTAAAAAAAAGTTGAATATTTACCGCATCAGCTTTACAAACAGTATTAGCCATTTGTCGACACAGCGTTCGCAAAAAATTTGTTTTATTAACTTCCTCATCGGTTATAGTAAGGGAATATAATTTTTCTTTTAACTCCTCGTTACTACGAACCAACAAAGCAAATACATTCCGACACTCTGAAATAAATAAAAACAATCAATGTTCCTGTAAATTTTACACAATACCATTCCTCTGAAGTTATTAAAAATTCAACTCACCCTCCGTTTCCCGAATGTCGAAGACTTTTTTCACAGTGCTGAGCGACAACATTTTGATGTGCTTGTAGAGTTTACCTTGGCTCGTTTTCAACGAATGGAGACCATTGACGGTATTTGGGCTCTTCATCGAATTGAAGGCCTTGGAGCGCTTCTTGCAGATTTCTAGCATGTCCGTGAAGAGGAAGAGCACGAGATGATCTCCTCGCCCGCTTAGACCCTCGCTCAACTCTTGCACGTCGCACTTGCTTATGAATGAACGATGCGAGGAGACCAAATGCGCCGGGCAATTGTCGATCTCTTGGTATATGTCGAAAATCGCGAGTTGGCCCTCGGTTTTCCGCTTGTCCTCATTTATGTAAGTCATTACTTCTTTTATACTGCTCAGAGACTTTTGCAAGGCCATGTGATCTGGGTTGTTTTCTTTTGTGTGCTTAAGAATATCTGGAATAATCGATTCTTCGTCACGTAACAGTTACAAAGAAATTATACCATTAAATTTATTTAAAAGACTTGTTACATACCATTTAACAATAAGCTAATACTGGGAAGACGTTGCACGGGCTTGATCAGCAGTTCTTTTAAGCTCTGTCTGCCACATTCAGGTTTTGATTGACAGATTTTGAGGAAAGCGTGAAACCGCGGCTTGTTCTGGTCGCACTGATCCAACATTTCCTTTGTGTTTTCGAAGAAATTCACGTACGGCGGATAAGCCTTGATCAAATCAGACGCGTATTTGAGAAATATATTTCCTATACTATTTTCTTCTGACCAGTTGCTGGCACAATAGCGCAACTCTTCCAACATATTTTGATGTACTTCGAAGATTGGCGGAAAGTTACCGAATATTATTTTAGCTTCCGTACTATTCAACAACTCCCCACTGGTTTCAATAAGTTCTTCTAATGGTGATTTAAACAGCTGCAAATAATGATAAACGTAAATGAATCCTGCTCATATTAACTAGTCCTTTCAAAGAACAGTAAGAAAACTTATAACAAAGCAAACCGTCATTATGGTACTGAGGATTCCAACATAATTTGACTCTGTTTGTACTAGTTCGAGAAATACTTGGTGACGAGGGGAAAGTTTCCTAGAAGACTCTGGATTCACAGCCTCTACCTCTGGAATATCTGTGGTTTATTAAAAAAATTCAACTTATCAAAATAGCCTTTCCTTTCCATATGGTCCATTACACACAGCAAAGTCGTAGAAAAGTGAAAAACAATTTTTTTTTCTTCTAATTTTTGTTTTCATTTTACAGCTGAGTAAAGAAGATAAAGGTTAACAGAGCGAAAAAGCATTAGCAGACACACACAAAAGTTAATGTTCTTAGCGATTATAGCATTGCTTAAAAAACAATAGTTGTCAATAAACCATAAGTTAAAGAAAGACCCAAGAAAATCATATCAATATAAAGATCAAAAATGTTTGACCGACTTACCGTCTAAAAGCCGTTTGTCAGGACTCGCAGTGCAATCGAGGAAACTTCCACTGACACTTAGGTGACCCGCATCACTGACACTCGAGCGTCTTTTGTGCTGGGACGGCGAGTCGGTGCCATTGGTCACGTAGTTCGATATAGTTTCGACGAGCCGTTTGCGTCTTCGCTTCGAGGGAGGGCCTGTTGGTGTCGACGCTTGCTGAAGGCTGTCTTTGCGTGCTGAAGCAACTGATGGCGACATAACGGACTCCAAATACTGCTTGCACGTAAACAATATCAATTAAAGTAAAAAAACACGTATGTGGATGAAAAAAAAAAAAAAAAAAACTACTTGAATTGTGAAACTTACGTCTTCAAACAGATAGTTTTTTTCGTCAACTGCTCCCTCATTTTGCACAGATGTCCAAAACCACTCAGCCTTGACAATGTGTGCCTTTGCATACGCAAGATCAGGTAACGAATTGACGTTCGACTCATCTACAACCTGTGAAAATCAATCGTTAATTGTCGGTCTAGTTTGCACACTTAAAAATTACATAAAACATTTAGAAGTTCAAGACTAGCACAAACAGTACATGCACCAGTGATTTAAGGGTTGCAGGATATTGTTTGAATTAACATGTTAAGTATGAGGAGTTTACAATTCGTGCAATCATGAAAATTATGAAAACGATGGCAATAGATATCATACAAGTTCCAAGCACAATGTAAGCTAAACATAATTGTTTCTGATTAAATAATAAAATGTTGGAAATGGATGTACAAGTGTTTATTCAAAGATCACATTTGCACCATTGTGAGATAAAACATTGAACCCCATGCTACAAGCAGGAAACGTGGCTGTCGATGATTTTGTTTGTGTATGCGTATACATTTACGTATGAGAGATAAAAATTAGGATTATGAAATTTCGACGTATCCACACCCAATCCATCTGACATTAAACGGTATCACTGTGTTCTTATCAGAACGAAAGATCAAAAGACGATGAACAACAAATGCGAAACACTACCATCCGCCGTGAGTTATCCTTGTAACAGCCATCGATAATATTTGGTGTAGAAACGGACTTCTTCACTCCCCAAAACGAGTAGCACTTTTTTTGTTGCAATTGCAAATTCTTGTTTTGTCTTCTTTGCTGCTGGTGTTGCAGCTGCGTCAATCGCGAGCTGCGCATCGAATTTGAGTTGAGTCTGGGTAACTTTTTGGGTACAGGCAGAGGACTTGCTAACGGAGTGTATTTTTCAGGGGTCATCGAAACCACTTTGTCGTCGCGTTTGCGATTACTTTCCTCTTGCTGCCTCGGACGGTATCTCGTGTTTTTCTTCGGGTCCTTCAACGCAGATGGAATCACAATCTCCCTGATTTTTGACAATATTGCCGAACTGTGTTTCAACGCTTTTAAAAGAGCTTTTGGAGTTTTCAGAGACTTTTTCGACGTACTACTCAATGTATCCGAAATAACCGTGGTGTTAAGACTTTCGGACGCTCTGCTCACCGAATCACTGCCAATGTCATAATCGTATTGACTAGGTGGTGTAGAATAGCGTTGTCTGGGATCATAGAGCTGAGATTGTTTGGATTCTGCATCGCAGTTTGAGGTCTTGTGCCACCTGACGTAGCCATCGTGCGAAAAAACTTGGCAAAACTGTTCATGGCTTTTGGGAGTAACGTAATCATCCTCGACATTCTTGTAATGCTCATTGGAATAGTTATCTTTGTAACTCATCAATTTAGATACCGAATTTTTTAGTAGCTCTATCTGTTTGTATCTGTCATCATCATACACATAATTATCATAGAGCGACTTAATTGAGCCTTCTCTGACGCTCATAGTCTCCGGTGTCCATCTTTCATCCTCCTCTTCTTCTCCTTTCCAATCGTCTTGAATCCCTTCATCTTCGGTATCCGGAGACACTTCAAAAATCGAGCTTTCATCAAATGACTGTTTCCGCTTGTGACTCAGTAATACTTGAGATGACGAATTCGTGGGTTTTGTAATCGTGTTGGTGTAAGGGTCATAATGAGCAAAAAAATATGATAAACGCCTATTGCACTCGATACTGTCGTTATCCTTGTTGGTCTCGTTAATTGGCTCAGCTTTTAGTTGTAAAGCACCGGTATTACGACATATATAACGAGACAGCGATTGCTTAGCTTCATCGATTCTCTTATGGCAAAGTTTGCTTGAATCTGCCACCTGAGCGTTTACGTAAATGGTGTTGTACGTGTGTAAGTTAGCAGGTCGTGAATTGGGGTAGAAAACAAACAAAACCAATAAAATGTCAGATCAATTAATGGTACAAAAAATTATATAAAGTTTATATAGGTTTCACATAAACGTACTATCAAATTTAGTCAATAGTACCATCTTATGTGAGCCACTGATTTTGTACAATGAAGTCTTACAAAAAAATACTGCAAAAAGGAGTATTAGTCATTACATACGAAATTTAGTACCTCTACAACTTCATGCATACAAAGAAGCCTGAAAGCTTAATTTCATCAATACTACAAATTTGCTTGTACAGACTCTTTGGTGTTTGGTGTTGCAAGACAAGAGGGCTGCATTCTAATAAAGCATCGCAAAAACCCAAATTGAATTTGTGAATGTACATACCACGTGGGTGCAATTTGGATCACTGATTTCCGTAGCTTCACCTCCCTGCTGCTGTAATACCTCGCACATATGCCGCTTTTCCTCTTCTGGGAAGCCAAAGAAGCACACCCGAGCACCAAAGAACGGCTTTAACTTGAACGTGGCGATCTGAGATAAGGAAAAATCGATTGAGCAATGTCGGCACTTTTAATTGTACATTTGAATTTGACTAAAAATAGTCGACTTCTAAAGAAGAAACATTAAAAAAACATTTTATCGAGTAAAAACATTAACGAAAGAAGAAAATCCGACTCACCGTGTTTTCATCAACACTGATGCTAGAAACATCGTCCCTCATGGTCCAGAGAGTCGTCACCCATTCAGCTGACATGATGGGCACGCGAAATGTCACTGCGTACCAATATTTTGGGCCTCTACAACAGTTGGCAATCAAGTGCGTTACTTTTTCACTCATATCCTTCCTCACGCTACCACCCATAAAATGTATCATGTTGACTAGCTTGGTCTGGAACATCACAATCAATTGGTAGTTGGATTATCGACAAAATGTATTGCTATCAGAAGAAAAAAAAGTAGGTTTCATGGCTTACCAACTCTTCTTTCATTGTAAAGCCTGTAAACACAATAATGGTTCCTAGCATAGCTTGTGTGTACATCGGCCGATGTATTTTAGGTAACGTCGGTTTCTCCTCCTTTGCCAGCTGTAGTAAAGCTGTTGGTCCCAGTATCCTGAAAACCAAAGTACGATTCATTATGTAACAAAAAAAATCGTCCTATTGAGATCAATGATCATCAAGTGGATGACGGCAAGGCGTTCACCTGTGTGCTGTTTTGTGTAGGAGATCATATTCTTGCCCTTCGAAATTTTTTAGGATAAAATATGTGCAATAGGTTGTGTCCTCTATGTATTCCACACCAGTTTCCGATTTGACGACTGGTACACCAAACTGCTGAGCTGCTTGGCTCAGCGAAGGATCCTCGTTAGCTGCACCAACGAGGCATATCCTCTTTTTACGAGGTATCAAACCTAAAAACGATAAATTATACACGTTATGCAATAAGGATCTTGATCGTGTATACCATGTAGATGTCACACCCGAGTCATCCATGCGCAGAGTTTGTAGTTATCAGTTGACATGGAAATCACATTATGTGAAGATGAGAACAAGTGATGTTTTCTGAGAAATGATTTCGTGTCGATCGAAAGAAAAATTATCAAGCAATCACATGTTTTCCGATCGAGACAAAGCACTTCACTTAAGTATCGATTAACTTGGAGAACAGAAGTAAAAAAAAAAAAAAAAAAAAAAATGATAAGGTACACAAATCTTTCACAAATACCATCAACTTGAAGGAATGAATGATTTTTGAAAATTATTTTACGACACTAACGAAATTCACATGCATTACCTCCTGTGACAATTTTCACCACCATTAACATTAAATCCCAATGATTGGTGACAAAGAGCCGAAAGTACAGTTAACCAATACTTTGGCTAGTAAAATTTAACTTTTAACGCATTGTTATGCGAAAATTATCTAGACTCGACTATAACATAATATAATACTTTAGTTTGCAACGACTGCTCCGTTCTACATCACTTGAGTAACTGATGTTCGCAGCCACAAACAAACACATAATATGTGTTTGTCTATGTACTTAGCACACGTAACAACAAAACTTAGGGGGACTATAGAGCCTCAAGGTCACAAACGTTTGTGTACACATCATCGGTATTTGTATGTTTTTGCAGGTGTATAGCTAAGTAATATATATAATATTCCAAACTATTGATACAATTAGATTTCGAAAAATACAACGGATCAATCGATTTGTTTTAAGTAACGAGTGCGTCCATGTCGAGTATAAAATTTTAATGCGCTTGGCACAAGTCTGCAGTGATTTGTGAAAAATTTGGATGAAAAAACTTTTATTTGTTTTTGTTTTTTTTTATTTTTTTTCTTCTTTAGATCACCAGCAGAGCTGAGGTGGGAAAAAACCGGAGAAAAAACCTTAATCGTCAAATGAATCATGTCTTCGAATCGGAAAAAAATGTGCAATGCGTTGGCTCAGAAAATTTTCCGCCTCGTTTTCAATCATCTCATGATGGAGTGACGAATCGGTTGAAAAATAATCGTGAAAAATGTTGTTTCTCGCAAAATTTTATTGCAAAGCCACAACAAGTATCATTTGAACAAGTAGAATAGCATGCAAACTAAAACGCGTGAAAAAAAAAAAAAAAAAAATGTTTTTAAATGTTTGAACTTTGTATACAAAGATTCCTTACAAAAAGTGTATATACATACATATAGACACGTGTAAATGCAAACTCTGTTGTTCACAACAGATGTACTTAGGTACAAATACAGTTATTTACGAATTATGGATAAAAGCAAGAAACGCAACCACCTTCTGAACCACGTGTGCGCTATACAATAGTTAAAATCTCAGCTGTACTGCAACATTGAAAGTTGGGCTTTTTTTCCCCCCTTAATCCTCCCTCTCCCTCAGCGATACAAGAGCCAAACGAAATCGCAATGGGATAATAGCTACAAGTCATTACGCTAAAGCCTCGCTTCCTCTCTCTGTGCCTCTACACGTTGGAGACTGCGCGGTAAAAAAGGAAGAAAAAAAAATCTGCTCGTTGCTGCAAAAAGGAAGGGCGAGAGAATAGGTGTACATATAAGTATAACAAATACATACAGTAAAGACAGCACTTACGTTCGGTCTTGGCGGCCTCCTCACTATTTATATCGCTGGTGCTGCTGTGCACGCTCCGCACTTCCATTTTGGCCGTCGCCCCTGCTGCCGCTCTCGCTCTCTTTTTTACTCTATCTTTCGACCGGTCCCTCTTTTTCTATGCGTGCGAATAATATCGGCTTTATCTTCTCCTCCTCCTCCTCCTCCTCCTCCTCCGCCTCTTCTCCCCGGGACGAAATTTTTGTGCCTGCGAAAATGAACAAGGTCGCGTTAGTCGTGATCGGTTGGCGCTTTGCGCTATTGTGTTTTGCCGATTTCAGCCGGACACCGGCTTCGCAAAATCATAAAAGCGGAACTTTCGGTAGCCTCGCGCGATTACTTTGCGTTCCACGCGGCCGCGGGAGACAAGCGTGCCCAAGAATGCGCGGTTCGTATGGACAAAAAAAAAAAAAAAAAAAAAAAAAAACATATTTGGCTCTTGTAAAAATAAACTTTGGCTCTCCCCGATTCCTCTGCCTCGGACACGGCGCGTATATAATATACGCATACACAGTTGTACAATGGCGCGTTGGGCTAAAGCTTACCCCCACGTGGACACTCTCAATTTAACGATGAAAAATCCGATTCCGCGCCGATTTTCCAGATAAATATACATAAAACAACGACCGCGTTAGCGTATACGATATTCTATATGGCAAGTAGTTGCAGAGGGAAACGATTTTTTACTTGGATGATTTATTTACGATCGCAAACACGATGCACAGTCCCGTGATTCACAAGATGCACGCGTCGTCGCTCTTATAACATAATAATAATAATAATATATGTGGTGGTACGTGCAAATGTAGGTGCACTTTGCAAGAGCGTTTTTCACTTGTTGGCTGTGTGTTGTACCTACTTTGGACTAACAAGCGCTAACGAGAACATCCCACCGACATTATCGTGATGAACTAAAAAAAAAAAAAAACGTCCAAACCATATCATCTCGAGTGGAATCAATGAAAGGGAGGGGGGGAGGCGTGCTGTCGGCGACGACAACGACGTCGCGTATAAGTTTAGGCCTATTTTTACCGTAGGCCACGATGGGTTGTTTTTATATTGTTGTGGGAGGTACTTATTATAAAATCGAGTGACGAATAAAAGCCACGCGTACGTATGGCTCGTTCGTAAAGATCAAAAAATAAATAAATTGTTTTCTCGTTTCAACGCGCATCGAAACGCGAGAAAAAGAGATTTTCCCTTTTCTTTGTGCGGACGAGGCATTTTAATATTTTACAACGTAACGTAAGAGCGTCTTTGTCGTCGTTACGCAACTGCGCGATAACGGGCTACACACTTGATGATAATTCCATGATGCATCTTAGTTTCCTTTTGATGCTTTGCACGAGAATCGTCCAAAGATCGGGAAAATATATTTTCTAATCCACCCCTCGTCGTTTGCGTCAGTTCTTTTTTTTTTCTTTTTTTTTTTCCTCTTTAATTCCCAACGGGAAATTACCCGCATTTTTACGTGTTTTCGTTTCCAAATATGTTTATTGTGTGTTTGTGTTGACGTTTCACGCAATTATTGTCTACACAATCATTTTTACGCTGTTCCCGCAATCTTTGTTCGAATCCAAGAGACAAGCGAAACGCGCAGGACAAGAAAAAGACTTTGCCTAATTGCTATATGATCGCTCCTCCTCCTCCTGCTGGTGTCGCGACGTGTTGTCGACGCCGTATTTAAAAAAACCGTGACGTCATAATATCTAAATGGTATCGCTGTGTGTACGTGCGTGCGACACGACGCGTCTCGGAAAAATAAGTGAGAAAATTTATCACCTGTATTAATATAACATCCAAGGCGTTTATCGCGTCCGATGGTTATCGTTATTTGATTTTCAAGAGACGCTATAATATAGACACGAGAAAGCGCGATGATCGAGCGCTTCGTCATCAAGAAAATTGCTTTTGGGTGCATTGCAAATTTTAACAGTCAATCGTCGTTTTGAACATTATTATTTTCGAGCAGTCGATTCATTCATACGAGGGTTTTCCTGTACATTGAACAGAAAAAACAAAACCATCGAAAAAGTATTTATTGTATACTTACAAAATGTATGGTCTGCGGCACCTGTACAACTTTCATTCCATTTCCTCTCATTCGTCAATCGTTATCTTTTATTTCTATATTTAAAAATCAGTACTCAAAAAATAGTGTTACAACAAAACGAAAAAAACAAATGTATTTTGTTTCTTTAATTTTCCATTGAGAGGAGAATAAAAACTGGGTCTCGATATGTGTTTTTTTTTTCATTCAAACATTGAACTTTACTGGGTATATCTTGGGCTTATCGAAGAAACATTCCGAGAAGGATAAAATTCAACATCTCATGAATAGGCAGATGATTGGCGTTTGATTTACATCTTTACAATCAAACAAATACAAAAAAACATTAAGCAACAGAGCAAACTTTCGCACATTTTGTTATTGACAAAATACCACGTGGATGAGATCACGTATAGCCCATACAGTGTATAACATGTTTAAAAAGTGAAGTACAAAAAAATAAAGCGCGTCCCGTCTTATCGTAAAACAAATGAACCTTTGTTTGTTAATTTTCGGAGAAAAAGTTTCAATAACTCATTACAATAGAGTGTATGGCCGCTGTAATGAAGTGTTTTCTTTTTTTTTTTTTGGAACGAACAGTATAATCGAAGCTTCACTGGTAAAATAATTAATTAACGCTCAGCAATGCTCAAAAATGTACACCTTTCAAAACGTTGACATAGAAAAAAAGTCAGTAAATTTTGTAGTACACAAACCACGTGATGATAAAGCACCAGTGGCAAGAACAAACCTTCATTTTTTTACATTGAACAATTGCACCCCCTTAGAACACTGTATATTAAAAAGTGTCCGGAAACCATCAATTTATTTTATGTTGCTCGTGACCCATGTTCGTTGAATAACGTGACCAAATAACGACAGATTACAGCGGACAAAGCGTCGTATCTGTAAAATTTATCGATAAGTCGTTACTGCGGTGATAATTAAACACGGAAATCACGTTGAAAATGTTTTTTTTTTAAGTTTACGAGCGTAATTAACGTTATATCAAAAATATCTTTTATATATGATTCTCTAATTTTTGGAAAAACATTTTTGACGGAAACAAATAAGCTCTTCCGTCTACTATACCATTATGCCCCAGGTGTTATCTCCCGACTGTAAAGCAATCACCTGCTCGCGGTTATCAGCCCAAGCCGATAAGAGCGCCTATGGTACCTATTATATTAGAAGCGATGTAAAAAATAGTTCTTTGATCTAATTGAAGAAAAAAAAAGTGGCTCAACAAGACGAAGACATTAAAAACTCAAATAGACTGTAAGAGTAAAATTAACATAATATGAATATGTTTGAATGTCTTATATTTTATGCAGAGTGCAATACTTTAATAAAAATACTGTTTTGAGCATAAAAATTATTTTCAACGTAAAAGTTATTCCTATGGTGTATTTATATAGTTACGATTGAAGGTTTAGACTACTTAATTCAATGAATTGTCGACTCAATTCGAATTTGGAAGATTTTTGGTTTATGATATAGAAAAAAAAACTCCAGTGTTTTTTAACACACATTTTACAAGTCCACGTTAAAAGATAAAGCTGTCCTTCATCTTGATGAAATACAAGTTTTTTGTATCGCGAGTTTTATTACATGACGTGATGTAGATACCTTACAAGGGAAAATAAAGATACGAAAACAGAGGAAAAGATTCAACAATACAAAAATTGCAGAGCTTGACAAATACACTTTTTTAATTTTAGATTCATATTTACAATGTCACTTTGAAATGACGAAAAAATATTTTGAAGGGATGAACATTTCGTATTTTAATATTTGAGAGAAAAAATTGTTCAATACGAATTAATACTTATTAATATCAATGAATTTGTAATATTAAAATACATGAGATAATTTTTGTTGTGTAGTATAGTGTTTTTAATAAATTGATTCACTAATGTTATTTTCTCCTATAAAGCAAACAAAGTCCACGAATAATAGTAATAGCAAACTTGTTAATGACATAAGTTCGTTTCCTGTAAGTTTATACACAACAGGAGTACTTAGGTAAATTATTCAAATGACAAGACTATATTTCAATTGATTTAATATGAAATGAAATTCAAGTAAGTTATTTAAAAACTCGGTACAGTTTAAGGATACTGAGAAATAAATTTTGGTTGCAAACTACCAACTACAGAGAGGGGATAGACGATGTGCAAAAATTAAATGACAAACATTTCACCTTTAAGGTTATGCATACTTTTCAACTAAATTAGTACACTTAAGCTTCACAAAATACTTAATAAATTTGAATGATTGTGGGAGTTTATATTATTTTCTAATATCTTACTTGTAGAAAAAGCAAATCAGGTCTTTTTTAATAATAATCTGGTGTGACCTGTGAACATGCCAATACCTGCAATCAATTTTGGCATACCGTTGTTTCACAGTAATTTAGAACGATGAGTATAAATTTATAATTTTCGTGGTATCATACAACTCTTTTTATTTTTTTAATCATACCCCTTTCGTTCCGTAAACATGTAAGTAGTATGGCTATTCGAGTTAGGTGCTTCAGTTCTGCTCCAAACCGTCCAGACACACACAACAATGCACACCGAAAAACCTGTTGGTCTCCTGGCTTATGAGTCATAACATTCTCTCTCCTCTCCTTTGACGATTGACTGTAAAGTATTCGTTTCCCTAATACTTCCTATAGACAACTAACCATCGAAGAACTAAACCTTAAAGAAAAACAGAATGATCTTTCGCAAATCTGACCAACCCAACGAACATGGCTTCAGAGAAAAATAGCGAACGAATCACATCACACAGCGAGACAAATTGCCAAACCGTCGCACAAAAAAAGAAAACGCATGATATGTATACTGTAGAGTAAATGTTAATATTGGCGTACGAATGAGGTAAAGATGTATACGCTACGTACTTGCAGATAATCTAAATGGGAGGTAAAACATTCAGCTGCTGTTAAAGAGCAACATCATCATCGTCGTCATCGTAGCAGCGATATCATCCATCACCAAGACCAAACAGCTCCGACGCACCCCGACGACTCCTCCTCATCGAGGTTGGTGGTGCAGCTGTTGTTTTTTAGCGCACACCACCTCTTCCCTCTTCTCGCCTTTCCTTCCTTCCGGTCTCTTTCTGTAATATATATCTCTCTCGTTCCGCTCTGCTATCTCTCTCAAGAGTACATGCATGTATTATTCCCCGCTATGTTCCCTCTTCGAGATGCTGCAAAAGATAATTAAGGAGCACACAATAGGCATACGTGTACTGCACAGCAAATCACTGAAACTGCTGAAACGATAATGCACTTGCACCAAAGTATAGGTATGTCTTGCTAAAAACCTCACACTCAACTCAGATTCACTTGTGTATTTTTACGTCTTCAAGGACGAGCCGAGTACTTGTAACATTAAGGTATACACAAACACAAACAGAGATAAACAATTAAAGCACGCTTCAAGTACACAATGCAAAAATAATCACGTAGAGAACTCGCAGTAATATCAGCACACACCAGATGAGCCGAAATGGTATATGGTGAATAGAAACAATGATCGCAGTTGTTGGGAAACTGTTAGCACGGAACAATATATTGTTTCGGGAGATCTGTAGAGAGAGAAGACGCGCACCCTTTTTTTTTTTTAAAACACTGCTCCAGAGCAGCCGATATCGTATCACGCGGCGTTAAACGTCGTTGTATATATATTTATATATATGTACCCGCTTCGCTTGATATACCTTTTATAGGTATATTTGTTTTTATTTTCTTTTGCACACTCTCTTTCTTGCTGCGCGCAGCGCACTGAACCTGAAAATTTTGATTCAAGAGGAAACGGGAAGAAGATCGTGCCAGCAGTGTCTCTCTTATCTCCGTTCTCCTTTGTAAGAGCAACGGCACGCGCCAATTTGTTCTCTCACTTTCTCTCGCGACCATCAAGCATAACGTTTTTCTCTCTCTTCTCTTCTTCGCCTCGATCTCCTCCCCGCACTTCCCGCACCTGCCTGTATACACACACAGACACAGTTTTGAAACCTATATTTTTTGACGGCTACAACTGCACTTTTGCCTTCAACCACTACCTATCACTTACCTAGTTTAGTGCGTGCGTCATGCCTGTGTGTTGTCTCTTCCCTCTTATCGTTATCGCACTACTATATGTTTGGTAAGAATTTTAAGTTTACACTCTTTTTAAACACCAAGTTTGTTTGCACTGACATTCTTGGTTTAGCCTCTCTTCCGACTCTCTCTCCGTGCAATGTACTACTACCACTTCTCTCATGCAGTTCAGTTTACTTTACTCTCCCTCCGCTCTTGCGCCTTGCGCTACCAACCGACGAACCGACTACTCACTCACTCCCCCACCCTTTTTAGTTTAGCCTCTACGTTTTTTGTGTCTCTCAAGTTTTTACTTTTGTATTATTGGCAGCAAGCGGGGGAGTAAGTTCCCCGTTCTCTTCTTTTCGGTGTTTCTCTCTCTGTCATCTCTTTTCGTCGAAATTTGAACTCTTCTCTGCTTTATTATGCTCATTTGTTGATTACTTTTTTTTCAAACAAATTGAGGGTCTTCATCCACAGTATACTTGAATTTTGTTTAGATGTTTTAACGTGATCCAATGAATGTCGTGTGTCAGGTGGAATGATGCGAGAACGGTTAACATTACTGCATAAATTCGTGAAGATTAATATGATGCAGTGGTTTTGGGATGGTTAGAAAATTAAAATCTCCAAAATGTACATTTATCTCAAGCATGGACTTATTGGTAAACAAAAATATGATAAAAGTAAATGTTAAAATACCGAGATTTGCAAATGCTGAATTCAACATGAAAAAAAAAGAAGTTTTTACATGAATATTTAAAAAAATGTTTATTTGTACAATTATTTTACTGCACACTTCGATTTAAATATTCTGACTGTATTGTCAGCACCACCAGATACTAAAAACTTGGGATTCGACCAGTTGCAGCTTAGAACTTTATCTTCATGGCCACTCAAATCAAACAATGGAGCTTTGGGGCTGAAAGACAATTCAAATAATTATTTCAATCCTAATAAATTTTAAAAAGATTTATTAATTTATACCTCCTTGTATCCCATAATTTGACATTATTGTCATATGCTCCAGACATAAACAAATGATCTTCAGTTGTTGACCAGTGCAAAGCCTGAACCCACTGTGTATGTGAAGTAAATATAGTCTTAACCACAGCACCCTCTAAAAAATATAGGTAGCATTATAGCTATTATTTATTATAAAAAAAGTTACATTATTTACCTGTGGATCTTGGATCATACAAACGAATGTGCCTGTCTGCTGATGCTGTGATTATGGTCCTTGATAAATTTGAATAATCAAGATCAAAGAAACTTTTATTTCCAGTAAGCTCATGCTTGATTCCTCCAAGTTCAGTGTCCCAGATTTTTAAGGTGTGATCCCAAGAAGATGTGATAACTTCTGTTTTGTTTGACCAAACAACGCCGCTGATTGCTTCTTTATGACCTTTCATAGTCCTTACTGGTACCTGAGTATTAAATTATATTTTTAATAAATAGAATGGCTCATCTATTTTAATGCAACTATTTATTTTAAACACTTGCTCTTGTTTTACTGCAGTCAGTTTTTTGTCTTTTTGAAAATGATTCTCCATCTTCATTCTCATCGTGCAAAGCTATAAAATCATCAAAATTAAGTTACATATTGATTTGTATGTATAAAATATGACAAAATAGAATATTGGTTACTATAAAAATTTTTTAAAAATGTGCTCACAGGTGGACCAAATTTTTAACATGGTATCCCAAGCTCCAGTTGCCATTAAATTACTAGTAGTATTTATGCCAACAGCTTCAAGGCCTCTTTCATGCCCTTTACATGTGTGTATACTTTCAACAGAGTTACTTTCAACATTCCACTTCCATATTATTGCAGTCTGATCTTGAGATGCACTAGAAATTAAAAGCAATCATTTGTAAACACAAAAATGGTTATTAATTTTATGTAGACAAGATTACCTCACAAAAGTTCCATTTTCTTCATCTAATGATATCCATGCCACAGCTTTAATTGGTGATGTATGCCCCGGGATAGTCAAGTGATGTTTTCCTTTTGCAGTCCATAAATGAAGAGTGTTGTCATAACAACCAGCCAATATCCTATTTAATGAGTATATACATTAATAGCTAATTGTAATATTTACCCATGACTTTCAAAAATATTGCTTCATTCATTATGTACATCATATATATTGATGAAAAATTACCATCTTTCACAAACCGCAACTGCAGACACCCAATCATCATGTATCAGACAGTCTTGTGGTTCTGGTGGTGGATGTTTTTCAATGTATTCGATATCAATTACATCTTCAACAGATATACCTCTTTCTCTAATGTGTTCCAATAAAGAGGTACGAAGAAACTCAGAACACACAAGGAAGTCAAATTCTACCTCTTTACTGACATTACCAGATTCTAAAAACATACAACATCAAAACAATAGAAAATAAGTGAGGATTTTGTTAATGTAAAATCACCTACCTTTCAGAAGTTCATTTACCAGATTATTCAGTTCTGAAACAAATACTGATGCGGGTATTGACAATGGGTAGTCTGGGACAGCATACCTGTAATTGTGATAATTAGGTCAAATTGTTAACAATCTTTCAATTTTACATACAAGTATAATAATAATATACATTTACTTTTAAAGAATATTTGTCATATAACCTTCAAGTTAAAATAAGTTGTTAACAGAAAAAAAGTTGAGAATTCGTGTTTTGTAATAAAATATCAAGAGAAATTACAGAGTAATTATCAAAGATCGTAAACAAGAAAAATCATTTTATTCTTTGTATTACTGCATTTTCATTCTGAGTATACAAAAATTAAGTAACTTACTGAAGTTGTTTGGTGACAAGACGAATCTGGATCTGTGGAACGTCAGTCTGTGTACTTTTTCCAGCCATTCTCTTCAGTTTTTTATTATTATTATTTTACAAATTGCACATGAAATGACTAACCTCACAATTTTTGTATGTACTGCGGGCAGTCTGCGGCTCAGTAATCAGTATTCCGCAAATGCTGTCAGCATAGACATACAAGAAAAAAATAGACTACTCGTTCTTATAATCTTATGTACACACGGCGCTGAAGCACAAGTAGGAGACACAACATCGAACGTGGATATCTGTCTCTCTAGCACATTGCCAAAGGTGGTAATGTCGACCTCCTATATATTGATACTTTTGGAGGTAAATTTTCGGATAAAAGATAAATTGTAAACTTGCCGCAAATAGCACAAAAAATGTCAAATTTTTATTTTTTATCTACCTGATTAGTTGCGGCTGGTTTATAATTAATTACATGTCTTTACTGTAAGTAGTAGCATACAGTAATAATTATTTGGATCAGCGCCATCTAGCGATATTCATTTTTTTCGAAATTTCGCTTAGTTCCAATTTTACTCGCCAGATAGCGCTATTGCTGTTTTTGTGGAAATTTAATGCTGTAAACGGAATAAATTCCTAACATATTATTATATATAGCTGCATTTCATAAACATATATATGACTACGACAAAATGACATGACGGCATTGATGAAATGTGACAAGGTTATCAGGTTAGAATTACCATTGTCTGCTGTGCTCATGTGCTATGCTTCAAAAAACCGAGGCTCCAGGCTACCGAGGTTAAACACACAAAAACGGAGCAACAACGAAAATTTGTGCTATTCAAGGGTTAGACAACGACTATACATCACACACAAGTAGTTGCGTGTGCTCAATGAGAGAGAAGAGTATGCATGCGATCGCAACATTATACGGAGGCAAAGTGACAGACCTCTGACGAAGCATTAAAAGGCGTCGTCGCCCAGCAAATCTTCTGGTCGAGCCATACAAACAGGTAATATATAGATTGGAGTTAAAAGTTGTACAGCCAATTTTTGACAAGCTGCCACCATATAAATGTATGAACATTGTGCAAACACAATTATAATGAATTAGCACTTGATCACAGAGATGCATGACAGTTGTTATTGTTTTTACACAAGTAGCTATGAACCTCTACAAATTTCCATTGCTTGCATAAGACAATTAACATTTGTGATTGAATTAACACTCCTTTTTACACTAATTTGTTCATCTACTGTTGTAAAAACGCAACAAAGCAATGCACACAGATGGTGCCTATACTAGCCATTACAACTTGATACATTTGATCGTAGCATGTGCCATTTAGACTTTGTTCTCTTGTTGGCTTTTGTTTAATTGTTGTTGATTCTTACCAAGTACCGTAATGAGCTTCCCTTATTTTGATTCATTTTAATTGTCAAAAGTGTATTGCTTAAGTTTTTAATGTGAAAAATCCATTTTGAATAATAATTTGTTAAAATATTTTAGCCTGACAGCACAAAATGCCTCTTGCTGCAATAAACTGCCCACACGTTGACAACCATGGTGACTTGATAGTAGTTGAAAACATAATAGCTCACCAGGAAACTTTTGATAAATGTAGTGAATGTGAACACAAAGGTCCAAACCTCTGGTTATGTCTACATCCCGAGTGTCGTTACGTAGGCTGTGCAGAGGGACAGTTTGATCACAGCACCATTCACAATAGAAAATTTCCAACTCACTCTGTCCACATGAATCTTTCATCAAATAGGATCTGGTGTTACTTTTGCCAGATAGAAGTTCACACTGTACATGTGCCGTCAAATCAATCTGATTTCAAGATTTACAGTGATAAACTAACTGGTGACTCGTCTGTCAACATAGACTTCAAGCCAGACGAATATGAATTTCAGAGATTGCGAAAAAAGTTTGTTTATGATTCTTATATTTCGATATCTTGCATGTATGTACCATTTAATTAATTCAAATTTATTATTTATTTAGATACAAGGGTAGTAATGTACTCGATGATATGGCAAACGCTGAAAGGGGAGATTCTTATGTTGATAAATCAGAAGATTCACCAGATAGCACAGACACAGATGAAAGTAGAGATTCTTCCGGAAAGCCCAGAGGATTGGTTGGTCTTCAAAACATTGGAAACACCTGTTATATGAATGCAGCGCTTCAAGCTTTGTCAAATGTACCTCCTTTAACCCACTATTTTTTGGATTGCGAACATATGGTTTATTACATTACTAAAGATCGTAAGGCTAATTTAAGTCTGAGTTACATGCATCTTATAAAAGAAATGTGGAGCAAAAGATCCTTAGGCTATGTGGTGCCACATGCAATATTAACAGGCATAAGAACAGTTCAACCAATGTATCGAGGTAATTACAGCTTAAGCAATCGATTTTCAATGCTCGTATCAGTCTTTTAATCTAATTCAGCGACAACACAATTCTGTTGTAGGTTATCATCAGCACGATACCCAAGAGTTCCTAAGGTGTTTTATGGACCAACTGCACGAAGAGCTGAAAGAACACATAGAGGAAGACCGCGAGAGTCAGGTGCGATTGAAAAGTGTCTGTGAACCATCCTCAGATGAAGAGGAGACCGAGGGCGATGGTACAGGATCGAGTCAGTCGGATGCTGAGTACGAAACCTGCGATTCAGGTGTAAGCGAGCGGAGCTCGCTCAGCGACGAGGGCGAGCGAGGCATGAAACGCCGACACTCCCGAATCAGCCAGCAAGCCGAGAAACTGCGCAACAAGTTCACAAGCCGAAGCATGAAGAAGAGCAATGCAAGCTCCCACGAGGTCAATTTTTTTTCGCGGGAGCGTGGCTCTCAGTCTGGCAGCTCGCCCATCAAGCACCGATCGAAAAAACAAATCAAAACGCGTAGCGTCATCAGCGATGTCTTTGACGGGAAATTGCTGAGCAGCGTGCAGTGCCTCACGTGCGATCGCATATCGACGCGCATTGAGACCTTCCAAGATCTGTCGCTGCCTATACCTAGCCGTGACCATATCGACATGCTGCATCAGGGCTCGCTCACGCCTCAGAAGGCAAGCCCATGCACGGACGTTACGTACGTGACCAATCAAGCAGGCTGGTTCTCCTGGTTTTTCCAGTGGATGCGTTCATGGTTCTGGGGCCCAGTCGTCAGTCTCCACGACTGCCTCTCAGCCTTTTTTAGCGCTGATGAGCTGAAAGGTGATAATATGTATAGCTGTGAGAAGTGCAACAAGCTTAGGAACGGTATCAAATTTTCCAAAGTACTAGAACTGCCGGAAGTCCTGTGCATCCACCTCAAGCGTTTCCGTCACGAGCTCATGTTCAGCTCAAAAATCGCCAACTACGTTTCCTTCCCTCTCGAGGGTCTTGACATGCGGCCTTTCCTTCACAAAGACTGTGTGTCAAAGGTCACCACTTACGATCTCATGTCGGTCATCTGCCATCATGGCACTGCATGCGGTGGCCACTATGTCTGCTATGCTTTAAATCGAATCACGAATCAGTGGTTCGAGTTCGACGACCAGACAGTGACTCCCGTATCGCCGGATACGGTCAAGAATTGCGGTGCATATGTTCTTTTCTATCGCAAGTGGTCGAATGAGATGATCCAACTTCGCGAGAAAACGGTCGAGTTGTTGGACATATCGTCCAAGGATGCGACGGATTTGAACTTTTTCGTCAGCAGACAATGGATCAACCGGTTTAATACGTTCGCAGAGCCAGGGCTGATCGATAATTCAGACTTTCTATGCCCGCACGGAGGCGTCAATCCATTGAGAACTAAAATTGTTGATAAGATTTGTACACCCATACCACAGACTGTTTGGGAGTACCTATGGAAAACGTAGATTAATTTTTTTTTTCCTCACAAAATTTCCATCATTTGTAACGTACGTTGTGGTATAAGTATATATATGTAATATTTACAGGTTTGGTGGTGGTCCCAGCTGTACTAATTTATACCAATGTCCTACTTGCGAAGAAAAGTGTGAAGCATTAGAAAAGCGTCGAAACTACGAACTCGATGTTTTCAACCAGCTAAGTCGTCCTGATAATCCAACAGCACTTTTCGCTATATCAATGTCTTGGTTCAGACAGTGGCAGAGTTTTGTCAAAGTCAAGGAAACTCTTCCTCCTGGACCTATAGATAACAGTTCCATTGTTGTGAATAAAAGTGGTCAAACGGTTCTGAAACCAGGTGAGTAATCTTTTTTTTGTTAATTCTGCTTGATAAGTTTGAAAAAAATTGAAAGATAAAAAATTTCAAAACTCTTTTATGCTTCCTGTAGGTTCTGATTATGGTCCAATACCAGACGAACTTTGGGAATTTTTTGTAAATACATACAGTGGAGGACCTAACGTGATGATTCACTCGTGTCAGCGACCAGTGCCTGCACATTCTAGTTTACCCACACATTCCAATACAAATCTGAATCTCACAGATTTGTATCCTCAATTAGCTAGGCTAGCAGAGGCTAAAACAAAACAAATGACCACTGCAAGAAGTACTGAGTCGATACCGATGACAGACATTAATCCTACTGTTGAGAATACCATAACGACTGTGGGTAATTCTCAACTTGTAACTAAAGAAACAAATAGTTAAGAATTTCCTCTTTCTGCTTTATTGACGTTCGTGTGTCAAAACTTTATTTACAATGTCATGTGTCATTCTAATGAATTCCGGCTGGTTGCCACTGACTAACTAAATGAAATGTCAATTTATTAAAAAATAAATTGTTTTTTACCAATATGATTTAACAATCCACAAATTAGTGGCGATTGATTTTCGAATAATATGACAATTTGATTTTTCTTTTCCTGGTACGATAATTGGGCCGAGAGACATAATTTTCGTTATAAAGTACTTTGCATTACATTCTAGTAATTTTACAATACTAGGATTTCGTGGAATTCATTGAAACATCAATCAATCTATGAATATGTTATCGACAACGTCAATAAAACAGCGCCTTTAGTGTTACAAACTTGAAATCATAATCCTCCAAGGCAAGGAGTTTTTCATGTTGTACACGACAAAGATTTTTTTTCTTTAATTGCTTAGATTCAAAAGTATTTTATTCAACTGAAATTGAACATTTGTGTATATGAACATAGAACGCTTGTAAAAATAAGCGAGAGTGAGATAAATGCATAGTAGTTGGCGTCTTTGCCAAATCAAAAGCGTATAGTGTACATATGTATTTTTCTGTGAAAAAGAAAAAAAAAACTTTAAAAAAATGTTTTTCGTCACCTCTCATATGGCTTTTACAAGCAAGGCTTGCAATGGTGCAACATAATACGGTAAATCTGTGATTTATCTTAAAGTCAAGCCAGACGATTTTTCAGCCACGTATTCAAAGGGAAGAAAGCTTTATTTAGAAAAAATTTAGTAACATATTTATCAGCTTTTTGCATTGGTGATGAAATCACAAATTTTATTTCTTTTTTTTGGGGTACCTTACAACAAATTGAATAATTATTCAACATCTACCGCTTGCATGAACTTATATGTGCATCTTTATTAATGGCATTTAAGTTGAGCATTCTAACTGTGTAGCGTAAAACAACGCATTATTTGCGTGGGTGTACGAGGAAGAACAGAAGACTGACAATTACACGAAGAAAAAACACAAATGCAATTTATTTGAGATACATTCTCGGCGCTTTTTGTTTTTATATGTATCAAAAATTACGATGAAAAAAAAAAATTTTAAATAATGGTACAGTTTGTCATATATTATAATAATAATAATGATAAAAAATAAAAAATAAAAAAATTAGTAACAAAGTAAGGGAATAATGCCAAACAGTGCGAAGTTAAACTTTGTATTCTAAATGATAATGTTTATTGTGCTATTACACGTAAGATAGAATTATTACAAAGAGTTTAAAATGGTGTGGTGGAGAGAAAAAGTTTATTTTGTTGAGATAATACGTTGATAGTTGTATTATTGCATTGTTAGTTGATATTAATTTATTTGATTTACATATCGCTTGACAGCTACATAACTTTATCCCCATGTTTTCGAGGAGTATATTGTACTCCATTATAAAAAAAAAAACTTTTCTCATGCTACCTTTGACTATTTAACGAAAAGCATCGTGCAAGTTTAAACAAAAAATGTCTCAGCATACATTGTATATTAATAATTAAAAAAAATTAAAAGTTTTACGGTGTGCATCGAATGGAAAAAAACAAAAAATGACAACAAAAAACAATGGAAAAATCGATAGAAAGCCTACTTCTGGTAAGTTGAGCTGATAATTGTAAAAAAAAAAAAAAAAAAAAACTTGTGAAATCCCAATAACCCCATTATAGTTATTGCGGCATGTAACACAACATGAACAAGCAAAAAGGAAAATAAAGATTTTTTCTATCCATTAATGTCAGCCTCTTTTTTTTTTTCTTCCAAGACTCTCCTTTGACGTTCGAACTTTCAAAATCGAACGCACCAAAAAACCTCTCCTTCGTGACAATGTGCACGAGAAAAAATCGTTGCAAGCTCGATGCGCAGGTTCGACCGTGTATTCCCGACGCGAAGGGAGCAACGGAAATAGAGTAAAAGCACATCAGGGACTGGGGGATGGGAGGGGGGGGTGGTGGTTTGCGCGCCCCCGATTGTTATAATAATACACACGCAGCCTCCACCTCCCTCCCCTCCCCCCGAAAAGGTATATCCCGAGGGCGGCCTCGGCTCTCATCGATCGCCACTCTCGCGCTGACAGAGGGATGCTGCTGCTCCGTGGACCCTCTGCGCCGCACACGCTCGACAGTGTGCTGCTGCGTGCCATCCCGGATACTACAGCCTCGCCGTCACCCCCGCGCGCACCAGAACATCGCCACCATCGCCAGTAGAAGCAGCAGCCACCCCCTTCGATTCCTCGGCTCGTGTCCCGTATCCAGTAGTAAAGCCAGATTATCGTCAGCCATGCCCAAAAGAGAGGACCACTAGGAAGACATCTACCCCAACTGTGTACCGCCCCGCACCACCCGCGTTGCCCCGTTAATTTGCCTCGAACGCGCCCAACCACCTCGCCCGAAGTCAATCGTGGAGGAAGTTTGGACAAGCGAGATACTTTCATGAAGGAAGGATCGCCGCGTCGACGAGCCTCCACGGCCTGATACCTTTTTTTTGTTTTTTCTTTTTTTTTTTCCAACGTGAGTTTCATTCGCTTGTACAGGTAGTCACAGAGTACACTCGTATGATGTTACATGACTCCGTGTCCTCGGCTTTTGCGTGCTACAAACATATATACATTTTAATTATAATATTCGCGTCAAGAGGGAAGCGCGTGTGCTTATACATTGTACTATCGAAGCGGCAGTCATTTGCAGTGTGTACTATACTTGTTCGCACTGCACGACTACCGGGGGGGGGGGAGGGAGGGAGCGGTACTACTCGAGCTTGAAACTTTAGCCCAGGGTTGTACGATATTAACCGGAGAGGCTTTTGCCAAAGTGCATTTGTACTATTGTCGATTCAACTCTTTGATCGGGAAAAATTGATTTTCGAAGGCCCTCGCGCCAATAAGCTATACACTCGTGACGTTGAACGAGTACACTGGAGTTTTGCAAAGTATCGATGTAATGATATACAATATCCCACAATTGAGTCGTGTAAGATGAGGACACTCGGTCAAAGTAAATTATAAATTGATAAATTGTATGGATGAATTGGTCCAAGGATGTAATAAACAATTATGTATGTATATGCGCTTGTGTGTGCACGTCAAACAGATAAATCGATTGGAGCGATGGCGCAATTTCGGGGCTTCTTCATACCGGACCTGAACGCGACGATGAACGTCGCCTGGGAGACGGTGAAGTCCCTGTGGCCGGAGAACAGTCCTTGCATGGAGTTGATAAGGGGCACGGCTCCCGGTGGCCGTGGCAACTTTGACCAAGGAGGCGGGGAGTACGGGGAAGGTGTCGACGGGGCCGAAATGACGGCTCTCAACGACGAGCCGGGCAGTAGCTCCTACGGGGACCAGAAACGCGTCACCATGGCCGAGGAATCGTTTAGCTACCAGAGAAGCGGGTGAGCCGTTTTTTTTTTTTTTTTTTTTTTTTTTTTTTTTTTTTTTTTTTTTTTTTTTTTTTTTTTTTACAACACGCTATCCGTTGAACGAATGTTAAATATATATATATATTTTTTTCCCCCCAGGGATAAAGTGAGAACTGGAAGCGTCAGTAGTGGATTTAGTGAATATGACGAAGGGGGTGGCGAATTCGGTGCGGCGGGGGTGAAAATCAACGAATGGCAGGCAGCATGGAACGTCACCAATGCCATCCAGGTATGGAATTTTCGAAACGAGGCATACATGTATATATTATAAATGATTTCTTGATTTATTTTCGGTATTTTGTCGTACCATCCCTCACTGCTACATCTTGAAAAATCGAGTCTTTCGATTTTTACGAAGGTATAACGAATCGTGTGATTAATTTACGGATCCAATAATTTTTTACACATGCATTATTTAAATGAAGATGCATTAATAACGATTGGTAATGCTATTGGACTTTTGAACGAAATTTAATTGAAAACGGTAAGACGCTCGTATGCAATTTGATTACTCTGCTGATTTTATTTACTTTTGCACGGCTGTATCGTAGAAATGGTTATTCCGGCAATTCATAAAACTGTCAAGCGTACAGCTTTGAAAAAGAAAAAAAAGAAAAAAAATTTACTTACTCTTTCGTACTTTGAAGAATTTGAAGAAAATCTGAAACAAATGATGATGCAATGATTTTTTTTCTTCTTCTTTCTTCATCATAACAACATCGAGTGGACAAATACCCTAGTAATAGAAAAATAAAGCTGTTACCCATCATGACGAGCGAATGCCATGGATCATTTTTACCATCCAGCAATAATGGCTCCGTACACGCTTCGTCGTTTGGCATCTCTACACGCGTACACTCGGCATTGTTGTTTTATCCATAAATTAAATTTTAAATGTCTCGTTTGCCCCAATCGCAACTGCATACGAGTAGAAAAACGAATCAATCACTGCTTAATTTTTCGGCAATCGTATCCAACACTTTCGCTGTCCCTTGAATGCTTGGTATCGGTGTCTTTGAAAAAAAAAAAAAAAAAAAAAAAAAACCTCCCCCCTCAGGGCATGTTCATCGTGTCGCTGCCGTTCGCGGTACTGCGAGGCGGCTACTGGGCGATAGCCGCCATGGTCGGGGTAGCGTACATCTGCTGCTACACCGGCAAGATCCTGGTCGAGTGCCTGTACGAGTTTGACCCGAGCACGGGCCAACGGGTGCGCGTCCGCGACTCGTACGTCTCCATAGCCAAGGAGTGCTTCGGGCCCCGGGTCGGCGCACGCGTCGTCAACATAGCCCAGATCATCGAGCTCCTCATGACCTGCATACTATACGTCGTCGTTTGCGGCGACCTCATGATCGGCAGCTTTCCCGAGGGCGCTATCGACACGCGCAGCTGGATGATGGTAATTCTCCTTTTTTTTTCTCTCTCTCTCTCTCTCATTCCTAAGCAAATTATTGTTCGGCGCTGCAGTCATAAATAATCCACAACAATGTATACACCGCATGGTTTTATCGATCGGCAGCTCATCGGTATATTCCTGATACCGCTCGGCTTCCTAAAGTCACTGCACCACGTGTCCGTGTTGAGCTTCTGGTGCACGATGGCCCACCTGTTCATAAACGCGATAATACTCGGTTACTGCATGCTGGAGATCGGCGACTGGGGCTGGTCGAAGGTCAAGTGGAGCCTCGACATGGAAACATTTCCCATATCCCTTGGGGTGATCGTCTTCAGCTACACGTCCCAGATCTTCCTGCCCACCCTCGAGGGCAACTTGATAGACCGCAGCAAGTTCGATTGGATGCTCGACTGGAGCCACATCGCGGCCGCCGCCTTCAAGTCGATATTCGGCTGGGTCTGCTTCATGACCTTTCAAAACGACACCCAGCAGGTACGCGCGCATCCACCCGTACATCCACATTTTTTGCACGAGATGCGCATCATCATCATCATCATCGTTGCATGTATATACATGTATATTGTGTAAGGTGGTCACATGTATAACGTAAATATTTTCATGTGGTGAGCGCAGGTGATAACGAACAACCTGCACTCGTCGGGCTTCAAGGGCCTGGTGAACCTGTGCCTGGTGATAAAAGCCGTGCTCTCGTACCCGTTGCCATACTACGCAGCGTGCGAGCTCCTCGAGCGGGCGCTCTTCCGGGGCCGGCCCAAGACCCCCTTCCCGACCATCTGGACCCTCGACCGGGAGCTCAAAGTCTGGGGTCTGGCCTGGCGCGTCGGGGTCATTCTGTTTACCATCCTCATGGCCATCTTCATACCCCACTTCAGCATCCTCATGGGCTTCATCGGCTCGTTCACCGGCACCATGCTATCCTTCATCTGGCCGTGCTACTTTCACCTCAAGCTCAAGCGCAACTCCATGGAAACGAGCGCCGTTGCCTTTGACTGCTTCGTCATAAGCCTCGGGGTCCTGTTTGCCGTCATCGGCGTCTACGACTCGGGTCGGGCTCTCATCAAGGCTTTCGAGATCGGCTTGCCGTTTTAGGCTCGCCGCTTCCGTTTGTACCACCTACGCGTCATACCGTACTACCGAGCCTATATCTATCTCTCTCTCTCTCTCTCTCTCTTTTGTTTTTTTTTCTTCTATTTTTGCGTCTCGTGGTAACATAATATATACGGTTTGCATCGACACAGCGCGGGGTCACTCGATTGACTCGATATTTTCGGTACAACCGGCAATCGTTGAAAATCAGGATAGCCTCTAAAAAGGCACGATCATTCGTGCGTTCGTTTTAAAAAATATTTTCATTTTAAGGATAACTCGCACCGCGACTATACTTTACATGTTTTCTAAAAGCTTTTTATAGTTGTTTATTCATTCCAAGTACATAAACATACCTACCGGATTTTACGAAGCAACGATCCAACGTCTTCCAGTCTATATACATATTGACACACGGATAAACATTTGATACAAGGTATACTTGCCGAATAATTATTGATGACAAATTACTGCTGGGATTATTTTATCGGCTATTTTATATTGCCCCGTTGAACATCCAATCGAGTGAACATTGATGCAGACGGTATACGGGTACCTGTATGAATACTTGTTTTTTTTTTTTTTAAACTTTCCCCCCAACGATTTAGATAGTAGAAGTAATAATAAAAGATAGATAGGTCGCGCAGCTTCGTTCACGCTTGAGCGTCTCTTGGTCGCGCCCGAAAGTACGAGATGAGAAAGGGGAGGGAAAAAAAACGGTGCTATAGGTATAAAATGTAAAACCGCCGTTAGGCTGCAGACCGTGGCAAGACCGCTATAAAATACTTACAAAGAACGTGGGAGGGATACTTCAACGAATAACGCCATACCTACACTGTAACGATGTAACGATGATCACGTGGACGAGCTGTCCTGGTGCTTTATCGATCGACTCGGTACCGATGGTTTTCTCGTCATGCCTGTTTCGCGCTTTCTTTTCTCACCTCCTCTACTTGTTTTACTCTCCGAGATTTTATAAACGCTCCATGTCCAGACCAGGCAAAATTAAATTAAGTTCAACGTTTTTTCCTTTGTTTATTGAGATGCAAAGCTTATTGATCGTCTATATTATGTTTTTACTTTATTAAAAGTAAGCCGAAAAGGTTTCGAGAAATTATGCAAAATGACATAGAGATATAGGGTTGTTTACAAGGAAAGTGATGCCAATGAAATTTTGAAATTTGATACGACGTAGTTGGAAACTAAGGTGCCGCGTGCGGTCGAGCATCAGCTATAGCTCGTCGCTATCGCTTATATTTGGCGTTGTTGCCGTCAATTTCTAGTCTTCCTCGAAGACGATGTCTTCGTACCTATACCTGTAACGAAATATCAAAAAACCAATAGAATATTTATGGAATTGTTGGTAGACTTTTAGCCATCGTGCGACGATCGTGGTGATAAAGAATGAGAATGATAAATAGAACTGTTGTATGAGTTCTGAGTAATCGATGTCTTCCAGTACTTACTACAATTTCGTGGTTAAATTTTGTCGTCGCAGTGATTCTGATGATAAACAAAATTGAGTGAATGTGCCTACGTGCGATAACTATATGAAAATAGAAAAATCATCGTTATTAGAGATTTTTGTAACACCACTCCGGAGAAAGAGTGAATAAAAAAAACGTACCGTTAAGATGACACGTCAATGTTATTAATATGAAAAATAAGTGTTGTTGAAAAATGTATAATTTTTAGCAGTATTTTTAAAAACAAATGAAAATAGTTTTGTTTCGCGTGAAAAAATGAAAAATTTTAACAACTTTTATGATCACAGTACCAATTTTATTTGAGACTATACTTAGACTAGTATTTTAAATTGTTGCCATTGTCATATTAACTCGCAAATCTTTTTAATACAATATTGTTATGATTTATGTAAAAGTATTTTTTTTCTATACAAGCGTGTGTCAAGTTTTTCCAACCGTAGGAACTTCATAGCGAGATTCCTGTGATAAAAAAATCATTGAATTCACGTTACTCCATATAATTATTTTTGCTTATCCAAAGAAATTAAATGATGGAAAAATATGCAAAAAGCTACCTACAGACATGATTTTTCCAATTTGTTTGAGTGTGCATACTTACGCTAACAAAACACGTAAGTCTACTACAAAATGTCAACAAGAGTGTTGAGTGTAATTATATTTAAGTACACTTATTATATATATNTTCTTTTGTCCATTTCCTAATTGCTGCTGAGGCGATACAGCCTTTGTATTGATAATCAATGTCATAGAAATTTTGATGTGATATTAATGTATTTTTTACTAATATGATAATACTTTGAATTTTATATCTAAAACTGAAAAGCAAGGTAATGTACGTCGAAATGGATGTAAGCATCGGATACTTGACTTTCGTCATTGAATCTGCTTGGATCATAAACTGATAAACATAAATTATACATATGAAAAAGGATATATAGTAAAAAGTTGTAAACTGGATACAAAGATAATAAAAAAGCGAAAAATGATATAGGTATATGCGTGACAGCTGAGTCATACTGAATGCTTAAATAATTTTCATCAACAATTGGTATATTTTTTCCTTGTGCTAATTCGCACTTTAATTAAAAAAAAAATATTCTTAGCAAAAATTTTTTCTATTTCTTTCTCTTTTGCTCACTTTCTCTGTACATACTAAATTTTTTTACCAAATATCGGAAATTCAAGTGGTACGCGATAATTTAGTTTCGAATTTAGCGAGTAAAAATTTATTCTTTTAAAATGATTCTTTACTCCGAAATGTTAACAAATAAAAACGTAGATACTGCAAAAATTCACGTTTATGAATTAAAAGTCTTTATCTAAAAATAAATGATAAGTAGTGGATTTCAACTTGAATCCTAGCGGATTTCCATTATTTCAAAAACTTTAGTTCATAATTGATTTTTTTGAAATGTTGCTAAAGGTAAAGTGTAAAGTGATGCAATTGCAAGAGAAATAGAGTAAAATAAAAAATAAAAAAATCAAACGTGGAAACTCGAATCTTATCTTGAAGTAATATAAATAAATACGGTAGATTAACACTGTGTACAAAATCGAGCAATACATGCAGCCGTGTTTTGTAATTATTTGCATTGTGACATAGTGTATTCCATAAAATAATAAGATGATAATGTCTATTTATTAAAAAAAAGAAGAATTTAGGGCTGTAGACCAAAAACTAAACAACATGTCCACAAAAGCCTTCAATTCGTACTCCTCTAATCTGTTGTTCCATTGATTATCCCTTCTTGAAGTTTTAGAATCAATAGAAATGTTGATTATATTATTATTATTAAAAATCAGAGACTTTAAGGACACATTGAAAAAATTATTGCAATCTTGATGTTAAAGTTGACTATCATTGTAATAGGCATTGTTTGTCAGGTACAAGTGTAACAGGGCTTCCATATTATGAGATTGAAAAATATATAATAATGAAATTTTAAGCGTTGCCAATTATTTGTTTCAATGACTAATATAATACGAAAGACAAACTCTCCAATGCATTCATCAATCCTTTCCTCCAATTCTTTTCAATGTTTTCTGTTTTTTTTTTTTTTTTTTTTGTTTTTTTTTGTTTTTTTTTCGTCATTAGAAACTCAGATCACCTTTCTCGAGAGAAACAAAACAGATTCTTCGAGCCAGCCCGTGGAAAGTATATGTACCATGAGTGTATCGAACGTGAGAGTGTTGCGGTTAGTAACAAAAAATTGACTAGTAGTCTTCATACCTATATATATGCCATTTACGACGTATAAATTTGTGAAGCGCGTCGACATTGCCTCATTATTTAAAAACATGTTGAAGAATAAGGTTATTGTTTATTTAACTTTCTGCTTTTTTATTATAAATGGCACTAAAGGTAACGATGTGTCTTCAGAAGCGTACAATTATGAAGGTAAGGTTTACTACTTATTTCAGTTACAAAAGCGTATTTTATTAATGGCCATTATAAAATTTTAATCGTTACTTTATCCAATATAGATGTCCCTCGTGTCAAAATAAAAGTATTTCGTGGTGAGTTGAAAGAAGAAGACGGGGAAAAATACGCACCTTGGGGATTTTGGATTAAACAACCTAGTGGCAGATAAATAATAGTCTATTGTTTAATTTTATTTAAGATGAACGGAAAATGTATCACCAAATTTTTGTTTATCTTGTGTATAAAGATTTAGTTTTAAATTACCATTTTTGTACTAATTTAATAATGAAATAAACGATTCCAATAGTTTCAAGAAATATGTTTCGATTGTAATTAATTTTTATTTCTTAAGCTGTAACTAATGCCAAATCCAAGGTAAGCACAGGAATTAATCACGAAAGACAAGTAAAATCGTTTCTTATTTATATCTGTCTATATGTATGGACATTATCTAAGATACCATAAAAATAGTTGCAAATTTCTTATACTGTTTCCATTAGATCTTTTCATATTAAGCAAATTACCAACGAAATCGAAGTATAGATATGAGTTAAAAACACTTTAAATTATGAATGTTTTTTTAAAAGAAAATACTAATAAAATCTTTTTTTAAACGAGACCGACAAGTGTGATAAACATAGATTTATTTATTTATTGTACGTTGTAATGTACAAATTTTGTTCATTTTTCATATAATAGAGGTAAAAGGTAAAAACTAAATATGTAGTATCAAAATAATTTTATTACAATTTACGCACATCATAATTACAGTAGTTGCTGAATTAAAAAAATTAACGGTTTCATTTGCTTACATTAAATTCATTCATTATCACTATTAGCATTAAAAGATTTTTACAATATTTGGTTTATAGTATGATGAAAAGTTGCCATACAACTTCATTGGCAGTACAATTATCCGATTATCACTACACTCATTCAATCATTTAATGAACAAATACTATTTAAGGTCCCTTTCCATGAGCAAAGACTTAGATGAAAATTCAACTACACTTCAGAATGGACATTCTTTCTACTTTAAGACGTTCAGAAGAATTTTCTTAACATAGGTAATTACTATTACATTAAAGTGAATTATGTGCGCAAGTGAAAATAAGTATTAATGAAAAAAATGGATTGAACATTAAAAAAAAAAGAAAAAAAGACGAGCACTATCTGATGACTTTTCTAAAATGAAGGTTTATTCCATCTGCTGCTGCTGTAAACGTCGATCTAGGATCCAGTACTAATTTATTTTCTGGTTTTTGAACAACGATGTACTCACTTAAAATCATAGCTAAAACTACTTTGGCGTGTAATTGACCTACTTTCATACCTGAAAACATAATAAAAATCAATGAAATGAAGACAAGAAAATTTTTTGATGTTTTTTTTAGGAGAAACATAATGTTAAAATTAAAAAAATCAAGTCATTCGCTAATACTCACCAACACACATTCTAGGTCCAATTCCAAACGGGATGTAAGCATCGGATACTTGACTTTCGTCATTGAATCTGCTTGGATCATAAACTTCCGGTTGCTCGAAGAACCGAGGATCCTCTTGCATACCGTAGAGCGAGACATAAATTGGGGTTCCCTTCTCAATAACGATGTTAGTACCGGGAATCTGCAAAAACAACCATATACATTTACTAACGCATGGAATCAAATTACTATTAAGTGGTGCGAGACTATCGTTAGCAAGTTTATAATTTCGAAGTAAGTAACGATTAACAGTACCAGACAAATTTATCATTGATGAGTTCTTTTGGTAACGTAAAGAGAGACACGTAAAAAACATTTTTTAAACCTATTGATCAATCATAGGAAATACACGAACCGTGTAGTTTTGTCTGGTGTATCGATCAATGGTCGATACAGGTGGATGCAGCCTAACACCTTCAGCTATACATTGGTCTAGATATTTCATGTCGTTGAACGCTTCGTAAGTCAAGCCGTGCTCCTTGATCGCACGTTCGATGTCTCGACGTGCCTTCTCCTGGTATTCTGGGTGAGCTGCCAGCTCCATGAGAGTAAAGGCAGTTGTCGTGGAACTCGATTCGAAGCCCGAGAAGAAAGTGCCGGATTGATAAAGCAGATTCTCACCCTCAAACTCTGCAATTATTGAAATTCTATTGAGCAGTTTGACAAAACATGCATCGGCCGTTGTGCAGTTCGCTCCCTATGGATAAAGAAATTTTGGTCGCTCCCGAAATATAATGGAATTTCTAATGTGTGCTCGTATTCGTTCCCGAATTGAAAACGTTCCAAATGATGCCGAGTCGAAAGAAAATTAGAAAAAATTCTTATTTTTCCGGTCACACTCTATCCAGGCACCTGTATTCTACTCTGAACCCTAACTGTTGTATTTTGCACCACCAACTTTGACCCAAATGGAATCGACAACCGAATATCTATGTACAAGTGGATATATTTCGCCTCGCACGATCTACATCCTGAATTATTAAACCTCCTGTATCCTTTCTATTCTTCAGTTAATCACGTAATATTTTAACTTATTTCTTAACTCTTTCCGCTTCGGAGTAGCTACGTAAAGAATGGCAAATAAATAAATTTAAAAAAAAATGCAAACCAAAGGGATAAAATACCTTTGTCAAGGCAATCATGCACTATTGTGTTACACGTATCAAACTTATTATAACTAGTTCAACTTCCGGATATACATTTCCAGCGATAAATATCGTTGCTTAATACATTATGGAAACTAAAAAAATATCACAAGACGGAATAAATAAATTTCTTTTTACAAGTAGACTGCCTACAACGACAGCAAGCTGTCAACGAACAGCAACTTATTTACCGTGGTACAATATTTCATCGACTTCTATCGGCTACTGTTTATACCTATGTGTTGCGCAGTGTATACTATTATGAGCAAATTTGGCTATAAATAATCATAACCGTTACCACCTCGGGAGCGGATTTGACTACAAATAAGAAATTCCATTATCTTTCGGGAGCGAATTCGTCATTTTTTTTGAGTCGTGGGAGCGAATTCGACATCCCCTATGCATCATACACGAAGATAATTGCTTTACATTCATTTTGGCATATCGTACATGATATTATATGGTTAGGAGTCGTTCATCATAATGATAATTAAAAATAATGTCTTGGAAGTAGAGTTATTTCATTGAAGTTGAATTTGTCAAATTTATCTTGTTTGGTTATTGAATTGATGACAAGTTTTGTGAAAGTCTTATGACTTACTGTATTCGGGATTTTGCTCTCCGTTCTTCAATTGAATGAGTGAGTCGATAAAGTCACCTCTTTTGGTGCCACTTTGTTCGCGACTGTTTACAGCATCCCAGAATACTTTTCTCACAAACGATGAGTTGAATAACATACTTGGTCCAATAAGTTCAACCAACTCTGGCATGAAAAATACAGTAACCAAAGCAACCATTCTCTTGAAACCATGGAAGAAATTGTTCACTGTAATTTGAAATGAAAAAATATTCGACAAAAGAGCATTATTTTAATAGCTTCACATTAAAAAATAATTAAACAAATTTTTTCATGCGTACTACTTTGATTACATAGACCTAGTTTAGTTCTATGTCAACGTGACTATCTAAGGGATTTGTTTTATGTATAACGAATAACTATCATCATACAAAGTAGAATAATTAATTATTTTAAAAAAAATTTAGGCTTTGTTATGGTATTGAAAATCTGTCATGAACATTCAACGTTGTAAAAGCTAAAAAAATTATATTAAATTGTAATGACTAGATGCAAAAAAAAACAAAGAAAAGAAAAATGGCGAAAATTGGCCAAATTTGCAAAAATTATTTGCTTAACATACCTTATTCCTGGTCATAAGTATTATGTTACTATTTCCGAAAATTTACCTTTATAAAGTTATAAGATTATCAAATAGATACCTTTTGGTCAACTACATAGATACTCACACCCACATAAATGCATCATTCCCTCCCCCTATAAATGAATAGATTTATAAATATATTTTAGTTATTAACAGAGCGTATTAAATAGATCTGTCACGTGATTGTATATACTTTCTTGTGCTACACTTGTACTCGTAATTATTTCTTTTGTCCATTTCCTAATTGCTGCTGAGGCGATACAGCCTTTGTATTGATAATCAATGTCATAGAAATTTTGATGTGATATTAATGTATTTTTTACTAATATGATAATACTTTGAATTTTATATCTAAAACTGAAAAGCAAGGTAATGTCCGTCGAAATGGTAGTAGATCCGTCGTCGAAACAGTTATACATTATGCTTGCCACGTTTTTGGATGTGAACATTGTTCTACAGTAATCCATCTCAATCTAACTTAATTTGTTACGTAATATCTGCCCTGCACCCTTCGAAAAACCCTGAATTAAATGGTAATAGAAACAACAATTTTTCATCTAACTTCAGGCATTTTTTTTTTGACAATCAGATGCTTACTGAGCTTTCGTTTGTAAACATAAAAGTTTGTGTCATGGAAATGGCAGTTTTCGTCTGTTAAGTGCCATCGTCTTCAGGGCCATTTTGCGTTGGAACAGGAAATTAGTTGTTTTCCTACCTCGGGTGTTTTTGAGGATCGGGTGTGCCCTCGGTAGGAAAAAAAAAGATTCGCCAAATAAGCGCCATCGCACCGTAGCTGCCTTACGTCCCTCGGGCTGCAAAAAAGCCCTGTCGGCGATAACTTCCATGTGACGAAAACTACCATTTAATATTATCATTGTTAAAGTTACCTTGTAACTCGGTAGTTGTAAACAAAAAAAAAAAAGAAACTTGAATTTTAGTATCTTTAACTGCGTATTCGATTGCTTTGTTTGATGCAATTTAAAAATTTGTACTGTAAATGTGTAAAATGGAAGAAAAAAAAAAAAAAAAGTTACCGCATTTGCTGAACTCTTCGTTAGGATTATGAAACGAGTCCATGGGAGTGCCGAGGGCAACGTTGGCAATGAGATCAGTCGTGTACTTGTAGTTCAATTCCTGGGCATCGATGACAGTCTCGCGGTCCGACTGAATGTTTTGCTCCTCCAAGTGGTCCATCATGGGCTTCCCGGTCTGCATCATCAGAGGCAGCATTTGCTTAAGCTTGCCCCTGGTGAGCGTCGGGGTGATCTTGGACCTCAGATACTTCCAGGCAGGATTCTTCAGACCAAACAGATTTTTCATACCGATGCTGTCCTTCTGTTGGGAGCCGGCAAAGTGCCGATCGGAGAAGTTGTCAAAGTCCCGGATCATGACCTGCTTGATGATCTCGGGATCCCGGAGCAGCAGGCACGGCTTGTGGAAGATGTAGAAGCCGACGTAGGGCGCTTTCTTGTCAACGGCGGAGTTGTGGAGCACGCCGAGATGATAGCCCGGAGCTCTGCGGAAGAGGATGCCGTCCTTGAAATTGCCAAACACAAGATCGGTATTGGGCAGCTGCTCGACCCCTCGGCGCTTCCAGTAGTCGAGCTTGTAACGGGCGTAAAAGCGAAACAGTACATAAAGCACCGTCCCGAGGAGTACAGCGGGTAACAGACCTGGCATGGTTATCGCTCGAGAAGACACCTGAAGCGCACTACACGAGGCGAGCCGAAGCTCGGTTTTTTATATAGACCATTCCAAGTTTTTCTTCCTCGTCTAAGAACTATAATGAGCTTCTTCTGTTCATCATTGGATGATCATGCTCGTAGTAATTTGTTCCAAGTGTATGTGCTTACGTCGGTTAGTGGGAGGTGTCGCATAAATTTAATCTCGTCGATTTATTCGAATCAATGTGCGTATGATCGCTAATTCGTGTTAACAATTAATTACTTGATAGCATATACAATTAATTTGTTGTTAGCATTCATTAAATTTTTGTTGATTTTCATAAGTATGATATATTTTACTGTTGCTTTTGAATAAAAAATATTAATTTTTTTTTAAATAAATTGTTTGTACCGCGGTTCAAAACAATGACAAAATAAGAAATGGCAAAGGATTGTAAATTTCATAACCATTATCATCATATAATTCATCGTGCATAACAACAATTTTTATGTCATTACTAAACATGTGTGTGACGTATATTGGGTATACTCAAAGCAATCGAGCTGATATGTTATTCGTCACGAGCTGCAAAATTTGAATACAAAAATACAAAGGGGGAAAAACTGAAAAGCGATAGTACACACGTGTTTCACAGAATCTCGTTGAATGCACAACTTTTCCTCTTTTCATTACTTATTTTCCTGTTAATGGATAAACTGAATTCCTGTTTTGTTTTTTATTGCACATTACTGGTATCGTCATCAATTTTTTTATCTTTCTTCTTCACGTTATTGCTTATGATAAATGTATTACGTCAACTTATCTGAGTCAAGATTAAAAATTCACTGAAAAAATGTTTAAAAAATAGTACAATTTTTTAACATTTGACGGTAATTATCTCAAAAAATTAAAGATAACATCAAAACAAATACTACAATTCGTTAGAGAACAAATCATTGTTGACGAATCTCATAGGTTTTAACATTTATAAATATGCACATTATATGCGTATCTAACTAGACTGGTAGATAAAGACACACATTTTATTGATTCGAAATTAAGTTATCCCAAGAGAATGCTAATGAGAACAGAAACTTTGGTCACTGTGGATCATTGCTTGAATAAAAATATATTTCTCTAAACTATGGAGCTTAACAAATTATAAAATTTTTTTACTTCTGCTTGTGTTGTGTACTGATTTTACATATATCTAAGCTTATTTACACATCATGGGTTTTTTATCCTTTTCTCGCTACGGGAGTATAACCGATTCGCCATCCCTTAATATCACCCTCTCGTACGTTTCTAAGACAATCTTAATAACGTCTATTTTTGCCACAATAACCACTTCGCACATTGATTTTTGCCAATACTAAAGTAAAAATAGCTTACGCAACTTATGGGCGCGATGTGTTCTCGCTTGGCTTGGGTGCCAACATACATACTTGTGCGACAATTACCTGCTTCGCACTCTTGCTATGTAATATACTGTTTCCGCACCATACATAAGTATAAGCAAAAATAGAGGTAAAATGTTTACAGATTCTTTTCTCTAATTTTAGAACAAAATTTTCCAAGATATAAGTATTTTGAACATTTTTTTCAAGTATTGACAATTTTTTACTCAAATGATTACTTTATTCAAAATTTAAATGAAAATTATTGTTTCTGACAAAGAAATATGAAAAAAAACTTGAAATTTAAAAAAATTTTAACCTGCAAACTCCTCAAGTTAACACTCCTGTACATACTTAAGTATACATTTTACAAATAAGTGCTGAGCTAGAGTTATGTGGCATGAAACATAAAATTGAACTCTGTAAATTTTATTTCTTCTTTTTATCAATAAAGTCATTTCCATGTTAATTTAAAAATAAAGATTGAATGAAAAAAACGATTTAAAAAAACTTAAGTGTTTTAATAATCTAAAAATTTTGAGGCAATCAGTTATGTCAAATTTTTCTTGGTCCTCACTGATGCCGTTGTAATAAGTAACTTTTTAACTTTTTGCAACATTATTATTTGTGTTACTATACAAGGGAAGAAAAATATTCAATATTTATTGAATGTGCCAGATAAATAATAGCATAGCATAAAATTGAAAATAGATTTAAATAACCTTAAGTATTTTAATTATCTGAAAAAGTTGGTGCGTCTGTACTTGTATCAAGAAGCACATAAATGATAAATCACGTAACTTTAATTTGTTTGAAATAAATTATAAAATTGAATTCTATACATTTTATTTCTTCTTTTTATCAAAAAAAGTAATTTCCGTGTATTAGTATCTACTTAAAGAACTGATCTTTACGAAATATAAACATAATTTTTTTAATAAAAATGCCACCAGTTGCTATTATTGTACTAATTAATAAAAATAAATTAAAATAATGAAAAAAGATTTAGCGAAAACAGCATGTATCTGTAGAGTCTGTTAAATTTTTATTTAAAACCAATAAAAACTTTCATAAAAAATAAAATTATTTTAGTTACTTTATCAAGTAAGTGTTTGTGTGACTCATTTTTACCCACAATTTCGTTCAAAAATAATTTTTGTTCGATATGTAAGTATTATGTATAAGACATTATTCTCAGGCTAATCTTTTGATCAAAAAGTGCACGTTGAAATCCACTTTGACATGTACTAAGGAGATAGTAATCCTGTACGTATTTTATTTTAGAACCTATAGGATTGCCTGTTACGTTTTCGATACTGCGACCAATACTCAGCCGCCAATACTGCAAGCTTCGACGGAATAACCCATATATTTTGCATTACGTGGTATACTGGTATTACCTTGAAATGCTTCCTTATTTGTTCAATAGAAATGCATTTCCATATTAACTATCTGTTATGACTAAACATACAATTTTTTAATGATTCAAAATCTCAGAACTTTAAGAACCTTAATAATTACATAGTACTTTTTCCTCGATTTTTTGGAATAGTTGGATTTGATGTAGTTATAAAAGCTTATATGCAAATAAAATAAAAAAACTGCAATTTTTTTTATGTCATGTACATAGTTATTTATTTTTTTTTTTTTTTTC